GAGGGCGCGGCCTTGGAAGCGTCAGCAGCAGGTGGTGCACCGGCTGGGGTAGTCGATCCTAGTCCAAACGAGGTCTTGGCCGGCGTCGTCTGAGAGTTGGCGCCAGCTCCGAAGAGACCACCGGTAGCCGGAGTAGTCGAAGCATTGTTTCCAAACAGACCTCCCGAAGGAGCTCCTGTTGCGGGTGTGGTGCTGGCCCCGCCACCAAACAGGTTCGAGCCACCAGCGGCGGGGGTTGTCGATGTGTTGGCAGTGGTGTTTCCAAACAAGCCTGCGCCAGGCGTCGTGCTGCCTCCTCCGGCAGTGTTGGAAGCAGAGCCGAAAAGCGAAGGTGTAGTCGAGGTGGTATTGGCTCCGAATAGTCCTCCAGGTTTCGAGGCATCTGTAGGCTTAGCGCCAAACAAACCACCGGCCGGCTGTGTCGAGCTCGCTGCTGGGGTGCCGAAGGAGGAGGCTCCGAAAAGACCACCGGATGTAGCAGTTGTTGCTGGTTGGCCCGAGGCCGCGCTGGAGCTTGGTGTACCGAAGAATGACATGATTGCGATTATGTGAGGCTGACGATATTATGTCGAGGTTTCGGGGTTGGTTGGTTGGTTGGTTGGTTGAGGCGTTGATGGTAGGGTAGTCGTCGACCAAAATCTAGAGAGTCAACAACAGCGTCCCACTTCCCAAGGCTGTTGCGGTTACCTCAACAACAACAGGGAGCGCGCGGAAACCCAAGCAACGATTCGTTGAAATGCGATGAGGAAGATCGGCGCGATCTCGGTTTTAAGTAATTGATGCAATGGTCCAGCCGTGATATCGGATCGCGAGTTTTGGATGTCGGTTCGAAATCCGTTTGGTGGAGTGGACGTGGACGTCGTTTGGGCGTGGATTGGAGAAAGCAAAGAAACTAAGTGTGGCAGCGTCACTCTGTCTCTCTGTTTGTCAAGCTTCCGTCCTTCGCGACAGGCCTGTTTTTTTTGGAGGTGCTGCAGCGCGCCTGGGCTTTTCCCCTTCTGGGGACCCGGACGCGCAACAAGGCCAAGCATTTCCCGCTTGTTGCAGTGGAGCACCACTGCACCGTGACTGCACGCAGCGAGTCAGCCCCAGTTAAAGTGGTCAGCCTCACCTCACCCCGTCTAACATTTTACTAAGTAGCAAGTGCCAAGCGTGCACGGCCAATCAATGTGTGGCTTGACGACAGTTCGACAACTGAACTGAGAACTGAACTGACCTTGAGCGATGACGGGGCGGGCCTCATACACAGTAAAAGGGAAGTGCTGTAGTACCGTACGGGCCATACCAGGGTAGCCGAGCGGGCAGTGGGAGCGAAGCAGGAAGCCCCCGCTGTTGTCTCGGAAAGCTTGGGGTGGTAGGTGGTTACCCCATGTTCTAGGCCATCGTGAGCCCATTCCTCTAGGCCATCCGGAAGCTGTTCCTTTCTCTCGTCTCTCTCCACACACATCGTCCATCGTCTGGACATTGAGATGCCACAAGTCAGCCGCAACGTCTGTGTGCATACCCAACCTTGATTCACTTCACTTTGACCTCAGGCCATCCCGCTGCTTGCAATTGACCTATCTCCTGCAGAGTATAAGAGTTGGCTTACTCCCGTCTTGTTATAGGACACTCCAGTCCTGTCCCTCAGCAGTAAACATACTGTAGCACCCCACAGCAACTACATCACTCCTCAGTCCTCACCTTGGCCCCCCGATCCCCGATCCCGATCCTCCCATATCCATATCCATATCCATATCCATATACATACACCTATCTTGCTTCCTACCTCCCATATACACCTCTGCGCTTCCTTCAGTACTCACCATAGTCGGAAATCCTCTTGTTCTTTGATCGTATTGACCGCCGCGACTACGCTTCGAGATCACAATGGCTTCGCGCAGGAACAGTCTGTCGCCTCCCGAGAGGCAGGGGACCATGGACCCGGGCGCTCATGAGCTACCTGGTAGGTTACAGCTGATGGGGAACTTGGGAGACCTCTGAACAAAGTCGGCACATGGATATCCAACTAACCATTCATTCTACGCGCCAACAGGCTCCGACACCGAAGATCACTACTCCGATGCCATCTCTTCTCCCAAAGCTCCCTCCTCGCCCATCCCGCGAACAAGAGTTGAGAGAGTAGACGACAAGCCGGCGTATGGAGAGGTCCCGGGGACAAAGGCGTATTCTATGAGGGAAGGGGACGCGAAGCCGGATGAATTTGCCATTATCCCAGACCCAGACACCAAGCTCTCGACCGAGGAGCATGACCAGCGCCGGCCGTCCACTCCAGGCGGGCGCCCCATTCCCATGACCGTAGTGGAGGAGACGCCAGATAGCACTGGTGCCGTCACCCACCATGAGATCGAAGCGAGGCACGGGGTTGACAGTCCTCCCGACGTGCTTGTCAAGGCGGATGGGCAAAAGATCGAGCATGAGAAGGGTGGTGACAATGGTACGGATGCGTAGCACTTCTTTCTAGCCACACACACACACGCGCGCGCGCGCGCGCACACACACATTCACACGCACATGCCTGTTTGTTTGTTTTTTGAGCCAGCAAATTATACAAGATCTCCTTTGTATTGACTTTACGTTTTCCTGCGTAGATACACCAATACCACCTGCATTAAAGAGTCCTGCCTCGATCCATTCTAGAGACTCGTCATCTGATCTAGACCAGCCATCCTCTGACTCGCCCTCATTGGGGCCCAGTCTTCTAGAAAAGGAGGAGGCAAAAGATGACGCGCACGACAATGTCGTACGAGACAACGCCAAGACCGACGACGAACAGGCCGATGAAGATGAAACCAAGAAGGAGGAGGAGAATGTAGAGGTCAAGACTGAGCAGGCTACAGATGGAGAGGCGGAAGACGAGAAGCACGAGGAGGAGCAGTCAAAAGACCACGATACCGAAGAAAAACTTAAAGGAGACGAGTTCGAGGATGCCAGCGAAGAGCTTGAGAAGCAAGATACAAAGGAAGAAGACACAGAGGACCACTTTGACAAGGCAGAACCCAGTCAAGAGAACGAGAAGAAGGTCGAGCCAGAAGAGGACAAGACGGACGATGCCAGCTTTGACCACAAAGAGGAGAAGCCTGTTGAAAACGATGGGGTCATCGACGACGACGGATTTGCTGAAGCAGGGGATAAAGCACCCGACGATGACGGGTTTGGTGATGACGACTTTGGGGACGATTTTGCTGAGCCAGCCCAGGCCGGCGGTGATGACTTTGGGGATGACTTTGACGACTTTGAGGAGGGAGCCGAGGCCAACAACGATGCTGACTTTGGCGACTTTGACGATGCCGGCTTTGACGACGATGACTTCCAAGAAGCCGAAGGGTTCTCAGCTCCAGCACCTGCTCCTGAGCCGCAACCACAACATCCGCAGTCCTCATTATCCTTCGTAAGTCCCCAATCCAGTTACTCCCTTTACACCCAACACACACTAACATATCCTCTAGCAAATACCCGACTTCACCCACCTTTCCGCGTCTGAGATCCTCTCCCTCACTTCCCCTTACCTCAACGCCCTCTTCCCCCCCTCCCCCGACACCGACGGCGACGACGACTCCTCCCCCATCCCCACCCTCAACGTCTCCAACGGCATCACCGACCCCATTTTCCAACACCCCCGCTCCGCCTCCCTCTGGTCACAGCTCGTCGCCCCTCCCCCACTCCAACCCCCCGACTGGATCCGCTCCCGCATCCGCCGTCTCTTCCTCGTCTCCCTCGGCGTCCCCGTCGACCTAGACGAGATCCTCCCCGCTTCCAAGCAAAAGAAACTTGTCTTGCCTTCGTTAGGCGATCCCGACGCAGCAGACGACGAACGTACAGGTCGTTCGCGACGCGCTAGCTCTGCCGCCGCCGCCTTCCGCAGTCAAAACCAAAACCAAAACCTTACCACTACTTCGAATTCAAGCCGCAACCCATCTAAACAACCACCCGTTAACAAAACCGTTGCTGCCGCCGCAGGATCAAACACAGAAGGAAGCGCCAGCCGCTCTTCCAGTTCCGCTCGGAAGGGACCACCGCCCGAACCGGTATTCGACCTAGTGGCTGCCAAGCAGCTGTGCGAGACGACGGATGAGGCGCTTTCGGGGATGACGGACAAGGAACTAAAAGAGCATGTTCAAAAATTGGAGGCGATGCAGGGGGTGGCGTCCGAGGTGTTGGTGTATTGGCAGCAGAGGACGGATGAAAAGATTGGTGATCGGGAGGCGTTTGAGGGGGTGATTGAGAATCTGGTGAAGCATGCTAGGAAGGTTAGGAAGTAAAGTACGTACGTGAGTACATAGATTTTGGGGGGGGGGGGGGGGGGGAGGTGGGTGTGTTTGGGTATATATAAGTGAGAGTGTGGGTGGTTGGTTGGTTGGGGATTAGGGAATGAAGGGGGTAAGAAAAGGATGATTGTTATATTCTTCTATTCGATGTACAGGGGGTGATTACTTAGATAGACTGAGACTTGTTATTATATCAGGTGTTGTAATTAGATAAGGAGAAGGTTTCTAGGGAGGTTAAATTTCAAAAGGGGAGAGGCAGGATTGTGGTAGGTGTGATAGACTATTAGGTCTAGAGCAGAGTGAAATAAATAGATACTTACGTACGGATACAAGTTCCTAATCTTCAACAGAGGGTCATGTTCACTCGTCTCTCTAGTCTTCATTATCTAGTTATCACCTGAATGCAGTAATGGTAAGATGGTCGTTACGTCAAAAACTCGTGACAAAATCAACGTATTCATCTTCTCTACCTTCACCACTACCTGTTAAACCCAAAGTACGTACCTATCATACCAAAACATGACTTTTTGTACAAAGAGAAAAACCCGATACACCACGGCTCATAACGCGTTCCTCTTCTTCACAAGTTCTTCTTTTCACACACAACATTCCTCTCTCTCCCATCTTCTTCAACAAATCGTATGACCAGTCTTTCTACTTGAGTGCTCCCTTTTCATCGTTTACTCTCTCCGGTCCATGTTTGTTTGGATGGATAAAAATAAGAAGACCATGTACAAATTTCACAAGGCTAGTTTTAGAAACACAGGTCCCGGTTTCCCCACGCTACGCCGTTTCCTTCCGTGTCCGCCGCCCAAGTTTCCATTCTTCTTTAATCATCCCCCAACGACTTTTTGGATATTCCATCATTAGAGCAACCAAAAATTAACAACCTTTCATTTTTCCTGCTAATCGAGCGATATAAACTTTCGATATGTGGTCGCTTAAGAGGTGGAAGGCTCGAGGGTAACACCGCTGTTTTTAAGAAAAAGAAAGATATGTTAGTGGTTGTTTCAATGACGGTATGTCATGGGGTGTGAAAAGGGGAAAAACAAAACTTACGCAGCAATGGTGGCCCAACCGATAAGACGCCAGTGCTTCTCGATACGTCTGGAAAGGGCAACCTTCTCGCCGATGCTCGTGCAGGCGGGGGAGGTGAGGATGAGCTTGGCGGCATCCTTCTTGATGGCGGAGACCTTGGCACCGGTGGAGGTGGAACCAATGTTGACCATGATGACTTCGTTCTTGGCGAGCTTGTCGACCTTGGCCTGCTTGCCGTCGGCGGTGCGGACACCGAGAAGGCGGCGGAGGAGGTAGAAGTTGACTTCGATCTCGGAGTAGATCTCGGGGAGGCGGCCCTTGAGACCGAGGACGAAACCGACCAGACGATCGGCACGGCAGAGGGTAGGGTCGATGCGGGTACCGACACCAATGAGACCACCGGGCACGGCGTACTTGAGGTCGTTGGCCTCGGAGTTGAGGGAGACGATCCTGCTGAAGATGGGAGTGCACTTGAGGTCGCCCTTCTCGTCACGGGTGACGATACCGGGACGGATCTCGATCTCGTCGCCGAGCTTGAGGACACCGTGGAGAATGGAACCACCGGCAACACCACCCTTGAGCTCGTCAATCTCGGCACCGGGCTTGTTGACGTCGAAGGAACGAATGACAATCATCTGGGGGTCCATGGAGAAATCCCTGGGAGGAACGGGGATGGTGTTGACGATGGCATCGTTGATGGCGTCAATGTTGAACTTGAGCTGGGCCGAGATGGGGATGATGGGCGACTTTCCAGCAACGGTACCACGGATGAACTTGAGGATGGACTCGTAGTGCTGCTTGGCGGCCTCCTCGCGCATGAGATCGACCTTGTTCTGGAGGATGATGATCTTGTCGAGCTTCATAATCTCGATGGCAGCCAAATGTTCGGAGGTCTGGGGCTGGGGGCAGGATTCGTTTCCGGCAATCAGGAGGAGAGCGGCGTCCATGACGGCGGCACCTGAAAGCATAGTGCTCATGAGAATATCGTGACCAGGGCAGTCGACGAAGCTGGGAGGAGAAACATGGTCAGTCATTCGTTGGCGCAAATCATGTTATGCATGACAACTTACGAGACATGGCGCAACAGACGGTAGGTGCCCTCGCAACCCTCGCGCTCGCAAGGGGGATCAACCTCCTTCTCGGACTTGTAACTCCTATAGCATGTCGGGCGAGGGCATGCTGGGTTGTCGCACTTGTAGATCTTTGCGTTGGCGTAACCGAGCTTGATTGTGATGTTGCGGATGAGCTCGTTCTTGAAACGGACCGTCTGGACGCCCGAGATGGCTTTTACTACTGTCGACTTGCCGTGGGCGACGTGGCCGATGGTGCCGATGTTGATGGTGGCCTGTCGCGCAATGATCTCGGGGGTGAGGGGGCTGAGGGTCTTGACGTCGAGGTCCTTGGGATCGGTCTGGGGAGGAAGGGGAGGTCTCTGGACGACGGGGGCGGGGGCCTTCTTGAGGGCCGACTTGCGCGGCTTGGCCTCGACCTCGTTGTCGGACTCGTGCTGGTCGACCTGAGACTCGTTGTCGGAGCCCGAGTCGGACTCGACGATATCGTTGCCGAACTTGTCGCCGTTGGTAGCCATGATTGTGGATGTGGATGGAGGTGAGGTGTGGAGGTTAGTTAGGTCGGGTCGTCAAGTCGATGGATGGATGTGTCGCGGGGCAGTAATTTTTTCGCTTTCGGTGAAGCAACTGAACCCCTCTCGCTGAGTACTGTGCAGTGGGTGGTGTATGCCTGGTAGTTGCTGTACTTTTCCAGACCCTGCTCCTTGGTGTGGGTATGTGGGTGTCTGTCCTACTGCCTGTCTCCGCAACGGGACTCGCGATATTTGTGATAGCGGGCGTTGTTGGTGGTAAAACTGGACCTGACCAAAATAGTGGGGTTACAGCGAAGGTTGGAAGAAGGCTGAGAAGAAAAAACTGCCTGCCTGGTGGATGACTCTGACGATATTTGACTTGTGTTTGGCTTGTGCTCGGTACTATTTTCTTGTGCTGCCGCTGCCAGCTGCGACCAACAAGGCGAGCCGCCTCACACATTCCGCTCTGCGAACCTGCCCTGCGTGCGCTGCGCCCAACCCTTTGCCGCTGCCCCACTAAGCACGGTTTTCGGCTTAGCGTCGCCTGCCCCACAAAGGCCGATAAGAATACGATAAGCACTCGCCTCTGGCTGCTGTGGTTACCTTAGGTATGAAGTGCAGAGCTCAGTCACATCCCGCTCATTGACTTTTGGAACCTCCATCCTATCAAGAGTTCGCTATCCTACACTTTGATCCGATTATTCATCTGTTTCGGCACAAGACTCACTCATAAATCACACGGAAACGTTGAGAACGGATACACTGTATCGATCGGCGAGTTGAAATCGGTCTCTTTCTTTGAGAACAATCGTTACTTTGCAACGGCCTCTCCCATTGAGACCGACATTCTTCGACGTACATACGAACGTTTCCGGGTCGATAAGCTGATCCATCACCCGACAACGCCGAGTCTGCTTGTTGTCGTCAACTCTGAGGAGCACCCACGACGCTGGTCATGGCCACAGTCTCAACTCTATGAAGCTTGGTTAAGGGCGTCATCAGAGTCTTACCTGCTACCAATGCCTGGCTGTGGAGCGAAAAGTTAGGACATAAGGTGTCTTCTCCTGGATTCGACCCTTTCCCATCAAGTTATTCGATATCTTCACGAAGAGTGAGGCTCATCACTCTTGGGAGAATAAGGGTTCAACTTGGGTTCAGTCTCGGGATTACAGCGCTGTGACAAGTTGAGCCAAGTGGCCCGAATGTTGTCCTCCGTGATGTCGGACTGGGGCAGGGAGTAACTGCACCAGCTGTGCAAGCGTTACTATGTTCGAGTGTTCAGGACAACACTGCTCGAGTTTATTGGGAACATGCTCGGTATACATGGAAGCTACATCGGCCACAAACACGCTTCTCTCCTGGCCCCAAAAACACGCCCAAGCCCTTGTTTCACATCCAACCCAGATGCTTGTTGGATCGGGATCGGGGAGATTCCAGGGCCAAGACCTGTTTAACAGCGCGTACAACCGTCTCTGATGGTTCGAGAAGCAGTCTAGTAGGATTCAAGCCACAACCGATTCACAGCAATGACCATTGGAGCGGGGAGAAGACTCAACCGGTTACACGAGACATATCCGCTTGACCGCTGAATGGCCGTCAGTCACGGCCATAGCCATGGTTGGAGTTTGATCATCGCTGGGTTGGGGTCAAGAAAAGCAGCATGGGAGTGTCTATTCAAGATCATTCGGGCTGAGACTGGGCAAAACGACCAAAAGGTGAATTTACAACTGGCATGGCCGAGCTACTCCTATAAATACTTTGTCAGTTCTTCTCGAGAGGCACTTGCTGAGGAAGTGTCTTCTGCAATGAGCTTGGTAATCATCGTTTCACGACATGATGTGGGCAGCACTACCTACGGCGCTCCTCACCAAGTTGGGAATTCTTGCTGAGCTCGGATTCTTCTTGTCAAGTAATAGAACCGCATCAATGGTGCCATGGGTGATGACTTGCAGCAGCCGAACAGCGTGCTTCCACCGAGCCACCGAGAGCCCAAAAGGACGGGTAGGAATGCAACGCAGAACTGGCTGCCCATCATTGCTTGATGGCAGTATCACGATGGCAATACCGAAGCTTTTAGTACACCACCTCCGACTCGGCGGGCTAAAAATACCAAACCGGTGGCAACAGCACCTACAAATTGATGTGCTAAATACTGGCACTTTCATGATACTCTGTGCTTACGAACACTTGATGGAGGGTGGGCGGTATCTCTGTGCTGACAAGTGCAGCACAAGGTAACCTCGCTTCCAGGTGTAGATACGGTTTCTCGTCAGAGTTGAGGACGGCATATAAGTTGCCAAGCTATCTATGGGCGGAAACTCGTAAGCTGAGATGTCCGAGTTCGATAATATATTGGCTGTCAAATGCAAGTCCAGAACAAGGACATCACTGTCGCGGACTTGTGACGACGGCTCTGATATTCAAGGTGTTGATCTTTGCGAGTCCAGAACACACACCCAAAACACCCAGCCTTGTATCGTTTTTCCTGAATCAAGCTCTTTGCAGAATTCGTCTTACACTCAGCAGCACTACATTCGTCCTAGCGGTGTACATGTCTTGGTACCATGCCATGTTGTCCGCTGTGCTACGGAACACCGACGTCGTCGCTGTTCCAGAGGACCCCGCTCCCAGATAGAGAAAAGCGTAAAGAACACAGAATAGCTGGAAGGTGCGACATTGACAAGTCTGAGGAAGCCGCCGGGTTGATCAAGTCCCCGCCTTCACCAGCCCTTGGCTTTCACATTGATGAACATGGTCAACTGACGATTCTGGTCGGCAAGTATAAAAGATTACTGTGTCCCCGGCGCGTGATTCCCGCGCGTTCCCGCGAAGTCATGGTCAAACATCACACTCCAGAATCTTTCTGGGTCAGCGCCCGATATTACACTAGATTGGGGGACCAAGATTTGCGTAAAAATGGAGTGTGAACAGCGTGGAGCGAGCGAGTCGCTAGTCGCGGAGAAGAGAGCGTCGAGGAGGTTTGTGTGGTACCGCTTGCCGCCCACCAATGCATGGTTGGCAGCTCTATCACAGGATTGTGCCAACTGATTGGCTACACTTGTGAAAAGCCCAAACAAACAGCCAATTAGAGGACTCGGAACACTCCAGGGTAGGCAGTTGGATGGCAGGGGACCAGCGGAGATGTACGGCAGGGGTTCTTGTGAAAAAGGCCCGCCCTCCAAGACTTCCTCAGCAACGACAACGACGACGACGACCGCTTGCCGCCCAACCACGGGCCGCCGTCTCCTAGTGCTGCTCTGAGCTTCACGCTGTCGATGATCTTGGCGGTACATCTGGACGATGTCGTTGGCCTGCCTCTTCCTGGTCGAGTCCGGTAAAAGTGCTCCCCCATCCGCCAGCCGCCCCCGGCCAATGGATCCGTGTTACCCAACCTTGCCCGTCCGAACCAGTGATATTTTCTCCTGTGACCAGGAAGGCAGAACACAGAGAGAATGAGAACTCTGGTATTGGGGGCGAGAAGACATGAGGAGAGAAGGAGGACTCATCATGAGCAGTCGGTTACTATTCGAGTTATGAGCACATTTCCGTCTTCTTGGCCATGTGTGCACACGCAGGGCCATCTACATGTTGGTGTTGACGCCGCGGGATCGTCCATGCCGTCGACAGGCTGTTGTTATTCCCCTGGTCCGTTGCTACTATATCGAGAAGAAGAAAAGTTGCAACCCCACTTCCGGTCTTACATCTTTTCTTACGGTGTTCGAGTCTTATGTGTAGACCATTTCTGCTTCTAGACTTGACTTTCTCTTCTTTTCCCGTTTCTCTCAAAGCAACACCACAGAAATCTGCAGCATCTCCAACATCCAGGAGACGCAGGGAACGAAAAAAACGGCCTGCCACTGCCCGATCACAGTTCCTCGCTTGCCGACGTACATCCGCGGCCTCCCTCTTGAGCCACGAGCGAAAAAGCAGCTAGAGGTAACCACGAAGCCAGTCTGGTGCCCACTCCTGACTCCCAGTGGGCGTCTATTTTCGACATCAGTCGCCCGACCTTATTGGCGACACTAGCCTGTCGTCCTATCAGCTTCCGTGTCTCGGGTTTGACTACACCACCCCTGTGCAAAGTATGCTTCCCTATTGCTTCCCTCCGAGGAACCACTTGCTGATCGTCTCATGCAGAGAGGCAAGACTCGCGCAACCACCCATACCCATCCACCACCAGGATACCAAATCAAGGTGTACCAGGTAGTGGCAGCGGCTATTCAAAACCACCTTCACCCCAACGGCAGCGTCTCGCTTTCCATCCTCTCCTCTACTTCGGTAGCTGGGCTCTCTCATATCTGTGTCTCCTTTCCATTATACTCTATTTCCTTTTGCTTCACTCCTGCAAAGTGTGTGCCGTCATCATCTCACAGTTTGAGGCCGTGTACCCTTTGCTGGTTTGATATCGACATCGGGGACTGGCTTCTTCGAATTATTTCTTCATACAGTAAAGCCAACTAAAACGTATACACATCTACATCGTCGACATGGCCTTCAACGACGAGAAGAAGCGGCCAGCCGCTCTCAACCTGACGCCCCAACGAACAATGTCGGCCGGCTCAGTCTCTTCTAACAACTCATCATCCACATCCTCATCACTGGCCAAGCCTCCAAGGACACCACGATTTGCCGAAGCCACCTCAGTACACTCGCCTGTCGATGGACGAACACTACCCTTTTCTGAGCAGTCGGAGGTTGCGACTGCTCAGCCTGGAGATGTGGGTTTTGGTTATATCGGGAATGGAGGAAACAGGGAATCAGTCGCCATGCCAATGACACCAAGGTCGCCCCTCAAGAGTGCGATGAAGGTTCCGGGAACACCAGGTCGGGCTCTCGCCAATCCTCTCAGCCCAACATTCAGGGAAGAGGAGGAGCTGGAGGTGAAGGAAAAGTTGACGGAGAAGGAGCAGGCCAGGGATTTGGTGAGTTTTTGCGTTCAACTTGCGACCAAGCTCTAGGGTATACTAATATATACATACAGAAAATTAAAACCCGGGTACGCATGGCCAAGTTCGCTCTCCGCGGTGTCAACTTCAGCTGCAGTCTCATCATTCTCTCCATGCTTTCGGCCTCGTTCTCCATCTTCAACGCTACCCGACATCTTCCGGCCATGAACGGCCTTCCCGCTTGGGCCGCTGGCACTAACCCTTGGCCTCAATACGTCGTTCTCGCCTGCTCCTGCGTCTCGCTCCTCATCTGCATCGGTGTCTTCATTGGTTACTGCCGTGGGGGTCATCAAAGGGCGGAGAAGGTTGGCGTGTACTACACGCTCTTTGCTGTGGGCTGGTTCATCTTCAGCATGATCATGTGGGCGGTGGCTGCCGGTATCTTCCAATTCACCAAGAACAACAGCAAGAACCAAGACATGTGGGGTTGGTCCTGCGTTGAGAACCACCGCGCGGAGCTCTTCAAGGACAAGGTCGACTACGCGCTTGTGTGCCGTCTTCAGGTAAGCTCTTCCGCTCCCCTCACTTTGTATCACGGCAACACCCGGAATGTCTTACTGACAACAAACTTTTTTTCTCGTTGAACAGAACTGGGGTCTTATCTGCATGATTATCGAAATCATTATCGAGATCATCAGTATCACGCTCTACAGCATCGTCTTCTACCGCTACTGGTCCAAGCGCAAGCTGCTCAAGACCATGAACATGCGCGACAAGGCCCGGTCCGACCTCTACCTCGCCCAGCTGCGCGTGCAATCGGCGCCCAACACGCCCGGCTTCGGCCCCAAGTCGCCCACCTTTTCGCAATACGCCCTTTCCCCCCGCTTCCCGCCCTCGCAGTACCAATCCTTTGACGACGTCGAGAAGGGCTACGGTGCCGGTCCTACCCAACAGCAGCAGCAGCAGCCATTCACCCCCGGCGGCGGCGGCGGCCAGCGTCTCATCATCCCTCAGTCGTCCTCCTTCAGCTCGCCCAAGATCGACACGGGTTTCAAGCTGCAGGCTCCTCCCTCAAAGGCTAACCCTGCCACGCCCGTCACGCCCAAGGGCGGGTTCATGACGCCCTCGTCTTCCAACGCGGTCTCGCCCGTGGATCCCATGCCTCAAATCAACCTGCCCCAGCCTCCCCCGCCGGCGGTGGTGCAGATTGCGCACGCGCCGATGGCGGATGGCGAGCAGCAGTATGAGGCGGTACCGATCCCCGGGGCTTATGCCGGTCAGGCGATCAAGAACCCCCCGCCGCCGCCTATGCAGACGAGGTTTGCTTAGGTGGTCACCGGGTTCGGATGATGGCAGTGGCAGTGGCAGTGGGTGTCAATAAGCAAGGCGATGAAAGTATATATATCCCCTTTTCTCTTCTAAAGCAATCTCTTTTTCCCTTTGTTTATAGGTTTTACTTTGTTTGTTTCAAATTGGATATACCAAAGGCGTTGGCGGGATCACAACTTTTTTTTTTTTTTTTGGAATAGCGATGGAGGATGGATGGATGGAATGACGGAAGAAAAATTGAGCGGAGCAGACAGAGTGTGTGTATAATATGAGCGGGAACTCGGGATACGTGAAAGATGAAGATGGATGGATGACAGAAGGTCAAGTTACCTTTTTTCCTCTGAGACAGATCAGACAGGAAAAGAACAAGAGAATAGAATTCTCTAAGTGTGTGAATCGAATCAAACAAACAAGTTCGTCTGACACTGAAGAGTTTCACTTGAACATGGTGGTATGCATAGCCAAGTGGTTGGTGTTTATGTTGAGAAAAAAAAAAGTACTCCCGTGTCTTGAACATCGTGATACTCACAAACGAACTTGGGTGGTAGCCAACCTCCCCAGCCACAAACCACATGGTGAAGCCATCACCAAGATTCATGTGTAGCTACATTGAGAGACAAAATCTGGGTTACTCAGCGAGGTGAATCCTGGCACGGTAGTGTATGTAATACCATAATAGTTTTCCCAGCCATTATAACAATTACAAGCGGGAGCACCCGACGCATCATCCCCGTTTCCTTCGGTGGTAGTAATAAGCTTTGATGTTCACCAAGTCCAAGGCCCGGGGGAGGGGCCCGGGGAATTGAAGCCAAATCCAAGCTCCACTCCGCTCAGGGGCGCCAGCTGTCAACCTGCCAAAGATACTCATCGATCTGAACTGCCAGTGGGCAGCAGGAACAGATCAAGATTGATGCACTTTGCGACAGCTGCCAGCCCGAGTTCATCTCATCCTGTCGGGGTCCGGTCCTCAGCGGGTGCGCTACACTGCAATGACGGACGCTGGCGGGACCTGCACTAACAATTAATTTGCCGGCGGGACGGAGGGACCAGGACCCTTTGCTATGAGGTGGAATTGGACCCATTCGGGGATGCCACATGTAATTGTCGCGTTTCGGATCGGGTCAAGTCCCCAAGTGTGTTCCTGAATCAGGCCGACGCTTTCTTTTACCGTGCCTCTCCTTTCCCCTTTATCTTCTCCTTCTCGTAGTTTAAGCAGATAGAGTTGGAGGTGAATGAAAGTGAAGTACACAAAACAAGTCGAGTAAAAAGGTACGTGCATGAAGTTGTCAGCAACCTCAAGGGTAATTCGCAACTTACACTACACCACACCACACCACACCACTCGACCGCCGCTCGCCGTGATCGTCACCACCCCCATTTTCCCCAAAAGAAGAAGAAAAGGGGACGGGACGGGAGCTCTCCAATTCCTTCCTCCCAAAGCCGCGACCTCACCTCCAGCTCAGCTACACACAACCCACCTAGTCCAGTCCAGTCCAGTTCAGTCCGGTCCTAGCAATATAACTAACGAAACGGGCGTCACCGTGCAGACCAGCCTACCAAACCCAAAACCAAGCTTTCCCACTCATCCTCCGTCGTCGTCTCGCTCCCATCATCCCCCAACCCCGAACCGGCAAGTCGCTCTGTACCACCTACCTACCTACCTACCTCACCAAACCGACCTATCCAATGGCATCCCGCCAAGCCTTCCGAAGCCTAGCTGCTTCCACTCCTTCTTCTTACACAACCACCTCTACTACCCTCCGCGCCGCCTCCGCCGCTTCTCGTCGTTGCGCATCTACTCTCCAGAACACCACTACTCGTCGCAGCACTCAGTGGACTTCTTCCACTTTCCAGCAAGGGCAAGGAAGAAGCAACAAGAGAAGCTACAGCACTCCCGGTGGCTCTCCCCCGCCTAGGGACACGAACAAGATCAGCTTTTGGCCTTTTGTGGCGCTGATTGCCTTGACGTCCGGAGGGTATATGTTGTTGGTTAACCGGAGAAAAGGTGAGTTCTTCTTTCTGTTTGTTTGATATAATCTGGGGGTAAAAAGAGAAGAACAAGAAGAATGTGAAGAGGGGTAAAGCGGTGGTACTAGAGACAGTCAGTCAGTCAGTCAAGTCGGCCGACGGGAGACGCACGTGGAAGCAGCAGTGCAGTGGGAATGCAGGGCAGCGAAGGAAGGCGGAAAGGGCAACTCAAGGTCCAGTCGCTCTCTTAACTCCCTGCTGCTGCTGCTGCTGCTGCTGCTGTTGCTGCTGCCCTGTGGCTTTGTCAGACGAGACAAGACGAGACGAGACGAAACGTCCGACACAACCCACCACTGCAGTTCCTAAACTAAGTGGAAGCTCACCACCTACCTCTCCACCTCCCTATTTTACCTACATAACATAACATAAACCATCCTCAAAACAACAACAACAAAGCTAACCACCCCCGATCACCACTTAGACATGCCTCCCAACCCCACCTCCTCCTCAGCCGCGGCTGCTCCCGCCCCCTCCACAACCCCTGCCTTCTCCCCCTCCGACGTAACCGTCATCTTCGTCCTCGGCGGCCCCGGCGCCGGCAAGGGCACCCAATGCGCCCGTCTAGTCCGCGACTACGGCTTCACCCACCTCTCGGCCGGCGACCTGCTCCGCGCCGAACAAGACCGTCCCGGCTCGCAATACGGCCAATTAATCCGCGACTGCATCAAGAACGGCGCCATCGTGCCCATGGAAGTCACCGTCGCTTTGCTCGAAAACGCCATGCGCGACACTCTTAGCTCGTCCAAAACTGGTGGTAAAGGTCGGTTCCTGATTGATGGGTTCCCCCGCAAGATGGACCAAGCCGTCAAGTTCGAAGAGGTCGTTTGCCCTGCCAAGATGGTGCTCTTTTATGATTGCCCGGAGCAGGAGATGGAGAAGAGGTTGCTGGAGCGCGGCAAGACGAGCGGGCGTGAAGATGATAATGCCGAGAGTATCAGGAAGCGGTTCAGGACGTTTGTGGAGACGAGCATGCCGGTTGTGGATCACTATGAAAGGGAAGGAAAGGTGGTCAAGGTGGATTCGACGCCGGGGCCGGATAAGGTGTATGAGGAGACGAGAAAGCAGTTGAGGAGGGTGTTTGGGGATAAGTTTTAGAGGGGGTTGACTTGACTTACTCCGGGGATGAGATGGGAGTGGTTGACGGGGGGGTTAAGGTAACTTGGTTTCTACTATTTCTGAGATGGGGTTGGCCGTTCCATGAAAATAAAAACTTTTAAATACTACACTACTACAGATTTATTAGAAAGGGACGGAGCGATGGAGTCGCGGAGACGGTCGGTGGATGGATGGGGATGGTTTTCTCCCGTTTGGAAATTGAACTTGCTCTGTCTTTTTCCAGATGTCGAGATGGCTTGGTATTGCATTCAGACTTTTTACCGTTGTGAAGCCTGAACAGAATGATCTCGTTGTTTCCACCGTTGAGGGTCATAGACGTTCTAAAGAAGCAATGCTGTTACTCGCCTTCTTGGTCTTTTGTATCCTGAGTGGTAGACCACATCCGGTTCATTCGACATCCCCTTCACCCGAATTGCTGCTTGCCCCATCATACGAATGGAGAGAGAAAACCTGATGATTGCTGGATATCTAACCCCCCCCCCCCCAATTCCTCGGAATGATACAACAATAGAAATGCAATTCCGCCAAAAAGTGTAGTAGCTCTCCCTTGAAAATGGTGTTCCGTTTTTTTTTCGGGGGGCTCACAACTCCTTGATAGATAACAACAACAACAACAACAACAACAACAACAACAACAACCCGTTTTGATGTAGAATTCCTTTCCCATTCAAATGAACTGAACTGAACTGCTGACCGAGCGGGATAATACAGGGGCAAGACATCGCTCTTTTTCTTTTTGAAAGATCCCCTCATATCTCTATGCTACTAACAACAACAACTAATTATTGCAGCAAAAATATCCTGTTGGCAACCCCCTTCAGTCATCATCATCCGTGCGTTGCCTCGTCTGTCTGGCACCGCCGGTACGTCCTCCCCGGTTGCCGCCGCGCTGCTCCGACTCGCCAAGACCGGCGTTGGCCAGCTTGCGCTCGAGCTCCTGCTGCTCACGCTCACGCTGGGCCTCGACATCGGTCTGGGCCTTGCGCACGACGCCGACGAGCCTATCGACGACCGTCTTGAACTGGTCGACGCGGGTGCCGAGCTCGCGCCACTGCTTCTCGCCAAAGACGCGGTAGGTGGTGCGGTGAACCAAAAAGACCTTTTGCTTCTGTGACAGGCGGCCCTCGACCAGCTTGGAGCGGATCACGTCAATGGTCCACATCTCGACGTCCTCGTCGGGGATCTGGAGGGCCTTGGCGATGCTGGCGTAGGGGATCTCGCGGTTCGGGGTGCTGGCGGCGAGCGAGGCAAAGGTGAGCAGGCGCATCTTGCGCTGCAGCTTCTCGTGGTCGAGCTTCTCGTTCTCGATCCATCCCTGGTGCTCGTCCCTGAAGTCGTTGTAGTCCTCGAGGTCCTGCTCGGTGAAGATGTCGAGGAGCTGCGAGTAGACGGGGTGCGAGTCGCTCAGGGCGTGGACCGAGGGGAGCGAGCGCAGGTCGTTGAAGTCGAAGCGGGTGGGCGACGAAATGGCCATGCGGAGGGCGCGGAGGGAGAGCTTCTGGGCCTCATCGGAGGCGACCTCGTCCTGGTTGTCGCGGTCGAAGGTGGCCAGAGCCTTGAGGAGGTAAAAGTAGGACTCCCTGTACACACAAGAAAAGGTTAGCATGAAGCCGTACAATGATGCTGTAAAAGGTAAATACTCACTCCTGATCACCGGCGTCGTTGGCGGCATCGGAAACCTCGACGTAGAGCTTGCGCTGGCTCTCCGAGTCGGACTTCCATTCCTGGAGCCAGCCCTCGACGTTCTTTAACCTGGGCTTGAGGAGGTCGAACTGGCTGTTTTGCCTGATGAAGCGGACGATCTGCATAAAGACATTGAAGCGCAGCGGGTTGGACTTGTCGAGGAGGTTGAAGATGGTGGTGAGCGCATTGGAGGCGAGGGTGAAGCCGTGGGTGGGAGACGAGGTGATGGGCTTGAGAAGGTTGGCGCAGAGGGTGGGCAGGTACTTCTTGGGCTCCTCGGACTGGAGGACGAGGTGGATGAGGAGGTTGTAGGCGGGGGTGAAGTCCTTCTCGGGGGCGGCGTTGAGGGAGTGGGAGGCCTTGACGATGAGGTCAAGGGCATCCTCGCGCTTGTCCTGCTCGAGGAGAGGCTGGACCTGCTCGCCGACCTGGACGAAGTCGGCCATCTCCTGCGCCAGCTCGGCGAAGGTGCCGTCGACGAAGATCAACTGGGGGGTAGCCATGTTGGTCGGTGTGTGTGTGCGTGTGTGGTTGTTTGACGACGGGCTACCGAACTATTCCCACTTGGACCTAAAGGCTGGAGTGAGGTCGGGTTGAGGCGAGACACACGGCGGGACGGGGGGACGGACGGGGGACACGGCGACGGGGAAAATATGGCCGGGGACAATCTGACAGTATGTCCTGGTGCTAAAGGTCGACACTGGCCGGAAACGATACGGATATCCCGTCAGACGTGGGAGGGGCCCCAAAGGAAGTTTTCTTTAGTGGCAGGGCTCCGCTCTTTCTTTTTCTTTGCACACTCAGTTGCTGGGCCTCGACTCGCTGAGACTGGACCCTCGAACCAATTTCTCAAAGCAAAAAAATGCCCCGCATTCAAATGCCAAGCCCACCGCCTATTTTTGCCCTGTGCTGAAGAAGAGCTGTTCTGTGTGCTCCAGCCAGTCACGTGCAGGATTGTCAGGGTTGTTGCAGTCATCTGCTTGTGACATAGAAAACCCTGACCAGCGAGGTCGTGACAATGTCAAGCTCCAGTCCCTTTTCCTGTGCTTGTCACCGTGCACTTGACATTGTCCCCAGCTTCTCCAAATCCGATCTTCTTAAAGTCACATTCCCATTCATGATGTTTTGACATGGATATCAACAAAGATGAATAATCGAAGGATCCGAATTTGACAAATCAAATATCCAGGTCGAGATTTTGGACCACTTGAACGATCTGATTTCCTATTTGATGTGATGCACTCGATCGAGGTTCGCAGTTACTTGCCTTGGTCTGTGGAGATATAAACCACGGGAATGACGGCACACCTTGATTAGAGTAAACAAAACTATTGAACTCGCTACATCATCGAATATCTTCTTTTTTGACTTGTCACGATCGTATCTATCAAGACAAGATGGCGACCTTTGTAAGCTCACCTAAAACACAAACAGAAGCGGGAAGCGAAGAGGGGGTCACGGGTCATCTGAATCGGATATCCAGGCAGACACTTAGAGTGTGGTGGTGACCCGGGCAACGGCCACCTTCCATTACAGCCTGAGGATATTGTATCAGCTCCTTCCTTTTTCCACTGACGTGATGGGAGTCTCAAAATAACAAATGACCGGCACGCCTGACAACCCAGAAGGATGTTGAAGAGTCACAACGAACGAACCCACAATGGATTCCCAAGAAAAGAGTGATGACCAACCAGCCCTACGCTATGTATGCAATGCACATGGTGACATTCAACAAGGGCTGAGGGTGTGCACCGCCGAAAGAAAGTCAACAAGTGTACCTAGCTAGCGTACAGAGACAGCAACAGTAAACAAAGCCCCTTGAGGGCATATTTCAAATTGCATATACACGTAGATATTTCATAGAGAATCAAATCAATGTTGTCAACTGGATGCTGTTTCCCTTTCTGTGGATTTGTTGACTTATACGCGCCAAAAGAGTGGAGTCATGGCGAGGCGAGGCGCGGCGTGATTTCCAAGCGAAAAAGATGAAAAGCTTCCACTTGGGGCGCGGTCATCAAGGCTTGTAAGGTAATTAATGTACACTGTGAATCCCTGACGTTGTATGGTTGCTTTCTGGTGGAGGCCCCCCCCCCCAAATACCTTAGCACTGCCCGCGGCCTATCCCAGTCCCTCGCGAACTGCACAGTAGCATCATTCAGTCACTCAGTCATTCTCCCCAGCCCGGCGCCGTCACCACCACCACCCCATCTTTTTCCACTCTACACACAACCTACCTGGAACACACCATCCCGCCACTTGATCACTTGAGATCCTCTCTTTTGAATCGAATCCTCAGCTCCGGCATTAACTGACCAACACACCATTCGACCCGTTGCCCTACAATCCCAGCAGCCATGGCTCCCCGAGCTGAAGGCAGCAGCACTCTTAAGAGAGCTCGCGTACGTCCGTCCACTCACTCCCCCATCCCATATGTCATGTCATGCCATGTCATGACTACATTATACATCAAGCTTTTTATTAGGTAGTCCATGGCGCATTGCGTCACCACCAAGCATGCTCCGTCGACTAATATGCGCTCTACTTCAGGGTTCTGCCGACGACAACGATTCCTTCAAGAAACCCCGTCGCTCCGAGCGCCTCTCCTCCCAGCGCACCGGCGACAGCCCCGAACCCAAGCAGAAGACGCCCCTCAAGACCACCAAACAACTGCCATCTCCAGTCACCCACGATTCCGATGAATTCCCACAGGATTCCAAAGAGCCCACTGCCACTCCTCCAGCCGGCCGCCCCAGCCAGCTGTCGCAAATCAGCCCTCGCCCAGAAAACCAACATTCTCAGTCGCAAGCGTCCCAGCTCAATGACACACAAGCCTTTAGCCAGTTGCCCGATCTCGATAAGGCTTTGTCGGACGAGGTGGAGGACGAAGTCAAGGAGGGAGTTTGGGGCTACCTGTTTCCCCTAGATCCTAGGTACGGCGGCCGCTGCGTCGTCTTGAGGAGGAGGGCTGCTTGTCCCCTTCCAGATACGGTCTCACAGGCGGTTGGCTCCAAGAGAGGTAAACGCGGCCAGAAGGCGCTGATCAAGGAGGAGCACGATTTGGACAAGACCAAGGTCAAGGGACTTCCATCCGGTGGCTATCTGATCGGCCGACACCCAGAATGCGGTTGGTTCACCTGTACAATCCCCGCTATACGCCACCATGCTAACATGACATTAGACATCCAAATAGAGGACCCCATCGTTTCGAACCGGCACTGCATCATCTTCACAGAGAACAAGGGCAACGACACCATCGCCGTATTAGAGGATCTGTCGAGTAACGGAACGTTCGTCAACGAGGCAATAGTGGGTCGCAACCGCCGGAGAGAGCTCCAAGAGCTAGATGAGATCGCCGTTCTTGGCACAGCCCGCTTCATCTTCCGATACCCCAAAAGTCGACACACCAGCGCATTCAGAC